TCAAGAGAAATGGGTTTGTCGGGGGAGTTGAGTTTCTTTGTTCAATGGACTAAGAAAACAAGCTTTTCTTGGTTTCATTAATATTTCTATTTGGGTTTTCTCTGGTATTTGAATATCTAATGTGCTATTGTCTTAACAAATTAAATTGATTTATTTTATTTTGATAGGGAGTGTGTTGAGTGGAGGAGGAAGTGTACCAGCTCCCAAAGCTTCAGCTGAGGATTGGGTGAACATGGTGAATGACCTCCAAAAAGCCTCCCTTTCGACTCGACTAGGAATCCCTATGATTTATGGCATTGATGCTGTTCATGGCCACAACAATGTGTATAAGGCTACTATTTTTCCTCACAATGTTGGACTTGGAGTCACCAGGCAAGAATAATCATAATTTCTTCTATACTTGAATGTGTGTGTGAAATAGTTTGTACTGTAAAAGTCATTGATTCTTGTAATTCATAGGCCATTATTATATCTGTAGGGTATTGAAAAATGGCTTTTATTGGCATGTGAAATGATTTTGTTTAGTTGGGAGCAGATATCTTTTTTTTTGTTTTTTATCTTCTTGAAATTTGCAAGTTTGTCTGGATTCCTTTTAGAAAGGAAAATTATTCCTGCTATTGTTGACTTTCAGCTGGACCTCAAACGGTTGTGTGTAAATAAGTAAATAAGGAGCTCACGTTTGAAAATTTGGATAAAATTGATGTGTAATAGTTGAAATTTGAAAATTTGTAACAGCAGTTCTTATTTCTTCTAATGCAATTACAACAGAGATCCTGATCTTTTGAAGAGAATTGGAGCTGCAACTGCACTTGAAGTTAGAGCCACAGGAATTCAATATGCTTTTGCACCTTGTATTGCTGTAAGCAAATAGTTCAATCCCTCTCCTATTGGTGTTTTTAAATTAGTATTTCTTTCATGTCTTAGTGTTGTTACATTGTTTTGTTTCTTACAGGTGTGTAGGGATCCGAGATGGGGTCGTTGTTATGAAAGTTATAGTGAGGATCACAAGATTGTTCAACTCATGACTGAGATCATACCTGGTTTACAGGGTGAATCTAAAGCAGTCCGAAAGGGTGTTCCTTTTGTTGAACCCGGAAAGTAAGATATCTTCATTTTTCTTTTTGATTTTTAAAAACTATGAATTTGCATTCGATTACACGGTAAAATTTCTTTGTCCATCTTCATAACATGGCATAGGTTCTTATATGAGCCCTGAGGTTTAGCCTAATTACCTCTCATTCGGTCGAAACTTGACCGAATGAATATTCAATTAACCGAAAATTCGGTTTATCCATTATAAGAACCGAAAACTGAACAGAATTTTATGGTTCGGTTCGGTTATTGGTTAACAGCAATAAGTAATTAATCTTCTCAATAATAATTCCGAATTTTTTACTGAACCAAAAAAATTGAATTTTTATCGGAACCAAAAAAATTGATTTTTTTTATCACCTTGTTTAATCTTCTCAATAAATTCCAAATTCCCCTCTAAGGAAGATCTCGGACCCGAACCATGACTTGAACTATGACAAAGCCAATCTTGAGTGCAAATTAATGCTTGAGTCATTTTTAAGGGGTCCTTGAGGCTCGAAAATCATCGACCATTGAAGCAAACTAATGCTTTTTATAACTTATATATATATGTGTGTGTGTGTGTGTGTATGCGTAAATTGGCTCGTTAACCGAATATTGTGCACCCCTAATTACCTCCAGAATTTTTATAAAACTTGTGTAATGAAACTACCTCAAAGAAGCTGAAAACAATTAGCTTAATGTATTTGTAATTTTAGAAGATTAAACAGATTTGCTTATTTTCACTATCTATGAGACCAAGACACACATTACACACTGTTTTGTGCTTATCTTGTATCATTTTTTGAATGGTTGAGGAGATTTTATTTTCCATTCATAATTTTTCAAGTTTTTTTCTAGCTGCTCAATTGCTCTTGAAATTCTCTTTTGTCTGTAAATTTGGTTTAGCATCAAGGAATTTTTATGCGATTCAATTGATTTAAAAAATCTAAAACTCCATAATTGCAATCTAACTTATTTATAGGACAAAAGTCGCTGGTTGTGCGAAACATTTTGTTGGGGACGGTGGAACGGTAAACGGGATTGACGAAAACAATACAATGATCAATTATAAAGGTTTGATGAGCATTCACATGCCCGCGTACTTTAACGCGATTAGTAAAGGTGTGGCCACTGTTATGGTTTCGTATTCAAGCTGGAACGGCAAAAAGATGCACGCTAATAAAGAACTCGTGACGGACTTCCTCAAGAACAAACTTAAATTCAGGGTATAACAATAACAAATTTACTACTTTTCTTGATTTGATCGATTTTTTAGTGATTTGATCGATTTTCGGTTTCTTTTTATTTTTTTTGTGTAGGGATTTGTCATATCGGATTGGCAAGGTATCGACAGGATCACGAGCCCACCGCATGCGAATTATTCTTATTCAGTTCAAGCAGGAATTCTTGCAGGAATTGATATGGTTAGTTAGTCAAGAGTATGTTAAGAAATTAAAAAATACTACGTGTTTTGTGTTTGAGCAGCAAATTAGAGGGAATGATGATAAAGAGGATAATAAGTTGATAACTAAAATATAACTGAAACTGATCATATTTTTTTTTTTTCGATGAACTGAAACAGATTATGCTTCCTGAGAGCTTCACAGAATTTATCGATGAACTGACGTTACAAGTGAAAAACAACATCATCCCCATGAGCAGGATAAATGATGCAGTTCAAAGAATATTAAGGGTCAAATTCACCATGGGTTTATTTGAGAACCCTATAGCTGATCTCAGCCTAGCAGACAAACTCGGCAGCCAGGTTTTATATTTATCATCTATCGATCTATCTCTATCTTTTTTTTCTTTCTTTCTTTCTTTTATTATGTTTTAAATATGATCAAAGCTCACATTCTTGTTTTTACAGGAACATAGGGACTTGGCAAGGGAAGCTGTGAGAAAATCTCTTGTCCTGTTGAAGAATGGAAAAAAAGCTAATCAGCCATTGCTTCCACTTTCGAAAAAAGTGCCGAAAATTTTAGTTGCTGGGACTCATGCAGATAACTTGGGTTACCAATGTGGAGGCTGGACGATCGAGTGGCAAGGTGTTCAGGGCAATGATCTCACAGTTGGTAAGTTTGCAAAATTCTATGAAGTGTTGATTGTTAAATATTGAATACAAATGGATTCTTATTGCAGTATATACACAAAATTATGGTGCAGCAAACTGATCAAGTCCATGAGAAGATTGGAATAAGAAAGATCATCATAACGATGAAAAAAAGTTCAAATCTTTTCACTTCAATGATTTTTTTAGTCCTATCCTTGAAAAGATCCCTGAATTCATAAACAGGCACCACAAATGGATTCTTATTGTAATATATATACACAAATTATGGTGCAGCAAACTGATCAAGTCCATGAAAAGATTAGAATCAGAAAAGATCATCCTAACAATGAAAAAAAATTGAAAATTTTCATTTTTCTCTGAATTCCCACAAAACAGGCACCACAATCTTAGCTGCTGTCAAAAGCACAGTCGACCCATCCACTCAAGTCATCTACTCGGAAAATCCCGACCAGAATTTCGTAAAAAACGGCGAATTTTCCTACGCCATTGTTGCAGTTGGCGAAGTCCCTTATGCCGAGATGTTTGGAGACAGTCAAAACCTCAGCATAACTGAGCCCGGCCCAAGCACCATCAAGAATGTATGTGGGCTTGTTAAGTGTGTTGTGGTTGTTGTTTCGGGCCGGCCCGTTGTGATTGGGCCCTATATTGACCAGATAGATGGGCTTGTGGCTGCATGGCTGCCAGGGACAGAAGGTCTGGGCCTGACAGATGCCTTGTTTGGTGACTACGGGTTTACGGGAAAGCTTGCTAGGACTTGGTTCAAGTCTGTGGATCAGTTGCCGATGAATGTGGGGGACCCGCATTATGACCCGCTTTTTGCGTTCGGGTTTGGGCTTACTACTAAAGGTAGGCATGAAAATTGAAGAAATAGTTTAATGTATTAGCAGCTGCAATGGGAGGACTTGGGGCTAATTTTGGACATGATGAGAATTTTATTATTGTTACAAAGCCAGGTTTATTGTAAGAAACTGGATTTTGTGTGAGTTTATTATTATTATCTTGATTAGGCCTTGAGCAATATGAGGCCTATGTTTTCAGATTGTGTAATATTGACTGGGGTGTAATGATGAAGACAAAAGAATATTATTATTCACTGGTTTGAGCTTTCATTCTTGCCCAAAAACTAGAAAAGACTCGATTTTGTTCTTATATTTTTTCCACTCATGAATTGAGATAACAAATTGTTTTTGTATTATACAACTTGCAAATGTATTCAGAAGTACTCTCAAGTCATCAGTTCAAGCATTTGGATAAAGAAGATCTTTATGTAAGGAGGTGAGGTATATGGAAGGTGCAAAGTGCAACTCACAATTAGATTTTTGGGTGCAAAGTGCAAAGTGTAAATCTCACACATAGTTACCACAAAATCAGATTGAGTTTGAAAGTAAATTTTTCACCTGAGCAATTGACTTGAAGAATGCTGCTAAAATATCCCTCAGGATTATTGTAGATAACCAAAATCAACCAAAATCACAGTACAAAGATGCGTTGTTTCCAATTCTACCCTCAAAGAATGTTTCTCTGGCTGATTCTTTTTTTTTTTTTTCTTTACAACTTTTATTAAAAGCTCATGAAGAGGTGCAACTGTACAACCAATTTGGTTACAAATCTTCCCACACACTAAAAACCGAACCAAGTAATGAGAAAAAAACACCAAAAAACTGCATAGAAACAGGCTTAGCTAGAGAAGAGGAAAAAAGCACTGTCAGCAAACAGACTGACCTATCTTTATCCACAGAGGTAGCCAGATTGTTAACATGAACGTTATACACTAACCTTAAAGAGAACTCTCCTGTTTTTATGAAAGTGCCTATTAATTCATCCCTTCCACCATTCTGACTGATAGGAATGTTAATAATGTTAATAATCTGAGCTTCACAAAGGTTCAAAAGTCTGCTCAACCAGCTCTCTATCGCCCATCAAAATGACAAAACTGGCTTGAAGGCAAAATTATCAAAACAAGGCAAAATTGTACAACCAAATATATCAATCCACACCAAGGCAAAGGTAAAACACATTTCAGTCAACTGCAGAAACAAATTCCAGGTGATATCTAATGGTGGTTTTCTTTCAAGTTACAATTTTTCCTGTGT